ATATATATATATATATATATATATATATATATATATATATATATATATATATATATATATATATATATATATATATAATATATATTATATATATATATATATATATATATATATATATATATATATATATATATATATATATATATATATATATATATATATATATATATATATATATATATATATATATATATATATATATATATCATATATATATATATATATATATATATATATATATATAATATATATATATATATATATATATATATATATATATATATATATATATATATATATATATATATATATATATATATATATATATATATAATATATATATATATATATATATATATATATATATATATATATATATATATATATATATATATATATATAATATATATATATATATATATATATATATATATATATATATATATATATATAATATATATATATATATATATATATATATATATATATATATATATATATATATATATATATATATATATATATATATATATATATATATATATATATATATATATATATATATATATATATATATATATATATATATATATATATATATATATATATATATATATATATATATATATAATATATATATATATATATATATATATATATATATATATATATATATATATATATATATATATATATATATATATATATATATATATATATATATATATATATATATATATATATATATATATATATATATATATATATATATATATATATATATATATATATATATATATATATATATATATATATATATATATATATATATATATATATATATATATATATATATATATATATATATATATATATATATATATATATATATATATATATATATATATATATATATATATATATATATATATATATATATATATATATATATACATATATATATATATATATATATATATATATATATATATATATATATATATATATATATATATATATATATATATATATATATATATATATATATATATATATATATATATTATATATATATATATATATATATATATATATATATATATATATATATATATATATATATATATATATATATATATATATATATATATATATATATATATATATATATATATATATATATATATATATATATATATATATATATATATATATATATATATATATATATATATATATATATATATATATATATATATATATATATATATATATATATATATATATATATATATAAATATATATATATATATATATATATATATATATATATATATATAAATATATATATATATATATATATATATATATATATATATATATATATATATATATATATATATAATCACAATATATCTGCAGATGCAAATATAAAAGCACTATATAAAGCTTAGGAACAGAAACTGCTTAGAGGATTCAAAATCAGAAGTAATCAAAAGCAATCAATTTAGGAAATCTAATATGCAATCTCCTACACTTACATAAATCAGTAAGCAACATGCCATCCACCATGATATGACATGCTGATATTGGTTTATCTGAATGAAGAAAGTAATGTAAAGGTAATCCAAGAGAACTAGTCACCAATGAGCCAGTTGTGAGTACTACCTGTCTCATCTGTTTACCCTTTTCCTTGATTCTCAAAGATATTTTCTCATATCTATTTTTGCTGTTAGTTATGTCAATAACACTTTAGTAATTAATTTGTCTATAATAAAAATAACAGCATCAATATTGATAGCATTTTTTCCTCAAACTCAAGAAATGATGAAGTCAAGATCTACTGATTGACTCCTTTGTGGCTAAGCATTTGCCAAGCCATCTCTGTGCAGAGACATTTAACCCAATGGTGCCGGGGAAAATGAACAAAAAATGGGGAAAATATTGGGCCCACTTTCTATGTTTTTCATGAAATGTCTGCCGATAGATGGCTCTGCTAGCACCTGATTTAAATGGCGGGAAAAACTTATTTTTCACTAATGCTATGAAAATCGATGGTGTTATTTTTATCATAAACAATGTAATTTTTATATATATTTTTTAACCCATTCGCGCCGGGTGTCACCTATACGTGACGGGCCCACTTTGAGTTTACTTGTTTGATTGTTTACAAACATAGATGGCTCCACTTGCACTTGTACTGCCTGTCTCGTCTGTTTACCCTTTTCTTTAATTTACGAAATTAATTTGCGTTATCTTATTTTCCTGTTACTAATGTTTATAACATTAGAGTAATTATAATGTTTATAATAAAAATAACCATCGATATTCATAGCACTAGTAAAAATACATTTTCCCGCCAAATGAAATCCGGTAAAGCAGAGCCATCTAGTGTAGAGAAATTTCATTAAAAAATATAAAAAATGAACACAGCATTTCCCCCATTTTTTGTTCATTTTTACCCGGCGCGAATGGGTTAACATTAGTAACAGCAAAATAAGATTACGTAAAATATTTTGTAAATCAAAGAAACGGGTAAACGGGCGAGAGGGGCGGTGCTCGTAACTGGCTCATTGGGGAGTTAGTACAAGTGTTGCCATCTATGCGTAAAAACAATCAAACAAGTACTCACTGTGGGCATAGCACGTACGTACACGTCATACCCGGCACCAAGGGGTTAAAAATACTACAGTGAGCACATTCTCCTGGTGGCTTTGGGTTAATCACCTTATTCTTATAAATATGAAAAGATGGGTATATGAGGGGCTTTAATAAGAAAACAGTTATATGCAATTTTTTTATTAGATTCTTTTCATGAACCACATTGCATTTGTACATTGCTGTGATTACTGTGTATAAAGTTTATACTGTGTAGAAAGATCAGTTGAAAGGAAATTCATTTACAGTTTTTAAATATTTACACTTTTATTTATCAAAATAATCTATTTCCTATTATACTTTCAATTTTTCAAACACGTTTGGTCACGTGTCTGCTTAATACTCTCAGAATACTTTCACATTTCTGGTTATGAAGCTTTAAAGATGTCCATACTAGTCGCATCACAAGGCTCCGTCTTGCCATCGCTTGACTCCCCTTCCACAGTGGCAGGACCATCATTCCCTGCCTCTTTTTCATCATTACAGTTACTGTCTTCAAGGTCTTGCCCATGTTCCATACTCTCATCTTTCAGGCTTTTCATCTCTGTGTCATCACTATTCCCCTCAGACCCCTCATCACTCTCCCCTTCATTCTCAATACTGGTAATATCCTCTTCCTCTGCATTAACCTCTTCAGCATAGGAGTTCTCTTCAACCTCAGAGTCTGGGGGTGACTCGGGAGCAAGATAGCTCAACATTGCATTTTGAGGAGGGCAACAGAATAAGCTATCACTCTGTACCTGAGAGTAAAACATATATCAATTGATTAATTAATGTAGTTTGAAATACCTTATAAATATATATATATATATATATATATATATATATATATATATATATATATATATATATATATATATATATATGCATATATATATACTTGTATATATATATATACGTATATATATATATATACATATATATAAATATATATATATATATATATATATATATATATATATATATATATATATATATATATATACGTATATATATATATATATACGTATATATATATATATATATATATATATATATATATATATATATATATATATATATAAATACGTATATATATATATATATATATATATATATATATATATATATATATATATATATATATATATATACGTATATATAAATATATACTCATATATAAATATATACGTACATATAAATATATACGTATATATAAATACATACGTATATATAAATATATACTCATATATAAATATATACGTACATATAAATATATACGTATATATAAATACATACGTATATATAAATATATACGTATATATATGTACGTATATATATACCTATATATATATCAAGTAAGCCTAATGGCAGTAGTTTGGGCCATATGACAGCAGTGAAGCATCCAGATCCAATGGGTTAAAATATTCAAGCATATATTATGATTTAAACAATCATACCTGAGTAAATAATAAAAGGTCCATGATTATTGGCGGCAGAGGAGCATTCATGAATTCCAACTGCTTCAGAAAGCGCATCAGCTGAGGCCAACCTTTTGCAGTGCCAACTGCCTCTCGGACAGCTAAGACACACAGTTGCTGCAAACTTTTAGGGGAACCTGAAATGCAAATGTCCATTTCTTAAAACACAATTCAAGGAGAGGAAAAATGCTGATGTATATCCTATTGGTTACTATCATAAAGTATATTCTCTCAAATAAGATACAGCAGTCTAGGGAAGTAAATAATATACAGTGGTACAAGGTTCCTTATTATTCGTTTTTTCACTCTTTCATCACAGACTTTTTGCAGATCCATCATTAATTGCAAAACTTACTCAAAAATGTCCCCATAAGGTATTAAGAAACAAAAAATGAAAAAAAGAAACTACAATGTAAAATCAAATAAAACTAAAATAGAAACATGAATTCATGATAGAGTATACATAAACAATAGGTGTTGTTAGAAATGAAGACAAGATGACTGACATAAAATGTGGCGATACTCTTTCATCTCCCTGTCTATAACTCAACATACCTCAGACACCCCCCCACCCCTTAACTTGTGTGGTGTGAGGAGCACTTACACCATTTTCAAACCATCCAAGGTTTGCATTTCTCTTTTGTATTGTTGCATAATGACCTCGCAACCTGAAGCTCAGCATACTTGCCATGTTGGGTTACATCAGGTTCTTGCCCATTGGACTGCGGGCTCACCTCGTTCTGTGTGACTGAACAGTGCTAGTGTACTTAAGCCACAGCATCCAGAACCAAAATCAGCATTCCCTTACCCTTCAGAAGACCACGACACAGCAGCAGCAAGAGGACTGCCCAGTCCTTAGCCATTTGGGAAGCCTACCAGATC